GCTACCAGATTACTTCAACGCCGTCGTCACTTGTGATGTGTGGTCTGCACTTCACGCGCTTCTGGTCTTTTGAAAAGAGGGTACTTGTTATTTTCTCCAGTTTTTTTGAATGCCCGGTCAGCAACTCTACTTCCTTTTTTCACAAACAAACATTATCGTATGTAAGTTCAAAATTTGAGTCAAATTACATACCTCACTGATAAGAAGAAGCAGCACAACCTCTTCAGTTCTCGATGACGGTGCAAAATAGCCTTTGTGAGATCCCATATAGAAACTGAAACATTACTCTATGGAAACGATCACTATGAGGTCTCCAAAAGAGCACTAATGTTGCCCCAGCTAAGTAGCTGGACTAAATTTCGCAGTAAACTCAAAAGTAGTTCGAAGGAGCCAAACTGGGCTACATCTGTAAACACCACTGGAGTGAAAAGTGTACCTACAGCTTTTACAATCACATCGCTTGCCAGGTTTAGTTGCTCACAGTTTGATCTCGCATTTGGTCAATAGATTCGGATTCTGAGTATCTAATCAGAAAGCTTTCCGTGACAGCCGAGTCATGCCTCTCTACCATGAGAGCGTTGAAACGATTAGTGAATATATCTTCGAGAAACTACGAAAAAGACGCATTAAGGGTTTGCAGACTGGAAGTTGAAGCGTTGAATACGTTAAGAATTGGCCAGTGCCACCTAGCCAGACCCTAATATTTAATCCAGGCATGCTAGCATAGTACTAGGTATTGACTAATTCCATTCCAAACTCACATGAAATTTTTGATTTTTGAAGCTTTCGGAGACATTGAAAAAAAACATGTAAAGGTCACGAGCGAGCCGCTGGTTTTATCAGCCAGCCAGCTTTGGTAATGTTGAGCAATCTAGAGAGACTGAACTCATGGTTCACTACAGCGGGAAACAACGGTATAGGACAGAAGCGGACGTCAAATCTCTAAGTAAAAAAGGGCGTGCTTGCTCGACACACGAAAATTCTTTGATGACCAGAGTTACACCAATTTACATCAAAGTCGTTGTCACAAAAGGTGTTCGATGAGACGGCACATTACCTTCCCCCCGTCACGAACTTCACTAAAAATTCCGCACAGAATGAAAAAAATAAGGAGGAGGGTCAACGGGCGGCAACTATCATTGCTAATTCGCTGACCGTTTCCAACACAGCGGAAGGGAAGACCAGTACTCAACTGAACCTAAAGGGTCGGTGCTCGTGAAGATTCTCACTCAATGCTTCATTCACGCTCAACGGCACATCAGCGAATTGCACTTCCATTGCATAGATGGAAAAGTCACTATGAAAAAAGAAAAACTGACTCGAGAGCGGAAAAAGAAGAAGCGGCTTCAGAGCCTTCAGAATATCAAAGAATTAGCGCAGAAGGCGAAGAATATTTCGCTTATGCCCTCATCTTCGATTTCTTTGTCGTCTCTGCTGCTCGGCTCGAGTAAACTAAGCCGTGGTGGTGTTCCACTTCATTCGACCTCATTTTAACGAAAATTCGGGGCGCTGACGCATTCGCTGTGGTGTTGAAAATCGGTCAGATGGATCAGCCATCATGTGAATTGCTAGTGATCGTTGGACTGTGACGGTTGCCGACTGGAATTCTTTGAGGTGTCATAACACCAGCATAAGCGTGACAATGTGCACCGTGGCTACTCGGAGACTTAGAGGGAGTTTGGAGAGTACATGCTCTTAAAATGGAAAGCACCCGGTTACCTAGCACGTTAGCCGGAGAAGTGAGAAAATCCTGACGAAGTACTGACGATATGGAACAGAGTGTTCGGCGACTGACGGCAATGTCAAAAGAATTAACGTGACGGCAAACGGAATATCAGAGCCCATTTTCTTGGCACAACGAATGAACAAAGGCGCGCGCCGTGATTCCAACTTCTAATCGTGAAATGCTGGGTCTTCAATGCATTTCACTATATAATGCGGGACCAGTGTGGTATAAGTCGGATATGTTTCTATTTCATACACAGGACTTGCTATCAAATGACAATTGTGAGTTATGAAAGAATAGTAATTAGTTAGGTTAGTTAGCGCTTCATTTTACTGCTAGTCCCAGTCAAATTTGAGGTCCAAACAATAGATTGAGATACATAGCGACAAAAGCTTCTGTGGTGACCAATTCCCGGTTAGGGAAAGCTACGACACTCAAGTTCATGCAGGATAGCTTGAGTGAAATTTGGATGCTTTAGTGGTCAGTGACAACGAGTTGAGAGTGGGGGTAGCCGAAACTAAGTGTTTTTATTATCATGGACAAGTCTGGAACCAAATAACCGAATCTGAATTGATGAAAGACTTGAATGGCCTGGCCGAGGCTCTATGTGAGACATAACCGCCGAATCACGTGCGTAACTACACAACAAGTCAAATCAGCCGCCGTACACAAATTGAGTGATCGAGTAATTGCAGAACCTTAGTTTACCTCAGGTTTTGGCTTTTCATGCTCACAGCTTGACTTGTTGTACCACCTCTCAAATCTGCAGGTACGGCTCGCATGAGAAGTTCCGCAAACTGACGAGACATTTTCTGTTGTAATCGTTCGCCAGTGGACTTATCTCCAAGACACGTTATAATACGGCGATACCTAAACTTTGGCATCAGGGACAGGTAACGAAGCAAGAAAGAGCAACCTACCACTCAATTCCTTCGAGATTGCTCTTCCTCTCTATCGTAGAATCTCGAACGCGGAGCGCTGCCACGCGTTCCAAACAGCACTCAAGAATGTCTCCTAGAAGGACGAAACATGATTTTTTCATAGATGAAATGGAAAAGCAGACGGTCAAAAAAAAAACAGAGCCGCACCTAGTTTTTCAGACCGAGATAACGGCGAAGACGATGCAACACTTCCTGAAAAGATAGCTTTTGATGAAGTCTGAAAAATGATGCTCAAGATCAAAAAGTAGAGGGTGTTCACAAACCACTTACTTAATAGTTCTACATCAACAATAAAATTTTCATAACTGACCTTTTCCTGATCCACCAACAATATTTTTCTCTATTTCTCCAACGTACATAATCGCCAATTCGGCAGCTTTCTCGTAGCAAAACAGGGCTTTCATCTTGTTACCATCTTTTTCTTGAGCTTGAATTGCTTCCAAACAAAAGCCTAAACATTTGTTAAAGGAAGCTGATGCACATATTTCACAATGGCAGGAATAGATATGTGGCATTACGCTTCAGCGCTACGTCACCTCTTAATCTTAAACAATTCTATTGTTGCATTATTGTTCCATTTATTTATTGGACTTCCCTCCATGTTCTCTGCTGCGAAAAGTTAAGGTCCAGACGGTGAAGAACAACGCTAGTGCAGCAGCGAATACCAATAGGGAATGGTGAAAGCTTAGCCGTTGCCTAGGAAAGAGGGGGGGGGTTCGGGGTGAATGAGCCACTTACCATGTAACAACTGCGAGTGTATGGGATCGCAGTAGTCGAGCTACTGTTGAGACAGAGGGGGAGACGAGGGCAGCATGCGATTCAATGAGCCAACCTCAGGCAGTCCATGCAGCGTTTCAGCAGTGGGACTCCTCCTGTAGAGCGTCCCATTGGCAAAAGGTCCATGCGCTACACAAAGTCATCTCTTGAAACTACGACAGTGTGCTGCCATCTTCCCCAAGCACAGCCACGAACTGCTGTGACCTCGCATACGACATTTCGAAAAAGGGCTGAAGCTTTCCTCACTCCAGGCGTCCTTCTTAAACGTGCTTGCGCTGCAGGTGAACGAAGGTATAACCAGCCAGGAAAAAAATTCTCAAATAAAGAAGACTTTCGACGTGACGATGGATTGTCTTACCAGGAAGGGTCATTAGGCCAACCCGGCCAAATGAAATGAGGTGCACATTTCTGTACGCAGCATGAGACGCTGAACTCAAATCTGCTTTCACTATCTGCTGAACTCTTCTCTGAAAGGAGTTACGGAGGGTTTTTGTTGCCGCCCTTGATTTTCAGTGTTTTACCTGCAATCACATGTTAGCCGCACTACAAAAGTATCGAAAGGAGAACCGAGGCACTGGTGATGTGAGCCTCGGTAGCGCAGTTGGTAGCGGTCGTGTTTCTCACGGAGGGGGTCGGGGGTTCGGTCCCTTACGGGGTTTGTTGTTTTGCTTTTTTTCCAACATGGCTGAAAAGCCTTTTTGAATCTGTTATTTTACCAATGGTCGCCCGACGCTACATCTACGAAGAGTTTGCAAGCTGACCCTCTTAAACTTAAGCACTACTTGTCTGTGAAAGCCTATGGTGCCCGTAGTGCAGGTGCTATGCTTTTCCGTGGCAAGTAGGTATGATATTCGTATTCAGGGGATCAAACTACCCCTTACAGCGAGTTTTTCGCCAAATCTGAGGCGACGAAATAATTGAGAAAAAGCGGGGCAGTGATGGGATTACCACTCCTCAAACTCCACTTTTTTGGGTTGTCATGGACGACGGGGGAAAGGGGAGAGAAGGTGTTGTATTAGGAAATAATGGTTTGTAGATCTTTGGATGATGCAGACGGGCAAGCCAGACACAATTTTCGTCTATTATGAAAAGTTTTTAAAAAATTTATTCTACCCAAGTGCCAGCCTTTTGTAATGGATTGGTGGATCGGTGAGTAAGTGACTGCCCAAATTTTCGAGGTTAGGTCAAAATTTCAGAATTCGCTAGAAGTTCGCTCAAAGGGAGAGTCTGGACTCCCTGATTACGAATATCATACTTGTTCGAAGCAAAAATGCCTGGCGCCTGCGCTACAAGCGCCCAAAGTGGTGAGGAGCGGTGCCGCCCAAGTTCATTATTAATTGCCCTCAAATTCTTTTTACTGTTAACTATACGCAAGCATATCGGACTAGCAATGTTAGGAGTCTTCCTAGCTATCTTACTGCAAACGGCAAAAGAACAAACTCGCCAGGGAGTTGATCCCCTGACCTCTTTTTCGTGAGCCTCGACCACAGCCCCTGCGCTTTTCTGCTTCATAATTCCTTTCAGAGAAGAGTTCAGCAGATAAGGAACACATATTTGAGCTCAGCGTCCCAAGGCGCGTATACACATATACATCTCATTTCAAATGGCCGGGTTGACCAAATGACCTTTCCTGGTAAGTCTCATATGGCAACAACTGATCAGTCAAGTTCATTTTCGAGTCCATTGTTTGACTCATTGAATTGAAAAAAGAAAATTCAAAATGTGTTGATGAAGTCAAAAAACGTACCTTTAATTGCATAAACTTCAGCAACTAATCGTAGAGCTCGCAATGTACGGAAAGGCGTGTTGGCAAGCTCCATTCCAGAATTTTCAATATCTTTCAGAGCCTAAATAAAAAAAATCAGAAATAAACGATATCGTACATAGCTTCCCGAATACTTAGACTAGCGATTCTTCAGCACAGTGGTTGCGAGTCTTCCACGGGTCTCAGCCAGCTTCAGCCATCCACTCACTGTTCCCAGAGGAGGTTGGGGCAGGTCGACCATTCACTGCTAATTTACACGGGGGGCGTATTCGGGGTTTAACAAAGTTCGAAAAAAGATCGATTTGGAGGAATGCTGTGGATGAAGTTGGTGTGTATCACTTAGTCTCAGAATCCAATACTTACAACTTCATAAAAAGTTGTGTGGTTGTGGTGGTGCTGGGGTGTTCGTGCATTGAGTGAGCCCCTTTAGAAGTGGTGGTGTAAGGGGTCGTATGAATGCCTCACGGGAAGCAAAAAGGAGGTAGATTGCGAACTTCGGGAATTTCCCCGAAGTGGAGGTTGGCCCTGGGTAAGAGTGGGTTGCATTTGGTGAATTCGGCATCATGTTCTTGGGAGGGAATTGTTGGGATGATCGAAAACTTTAATGGAGCTCCTCCCACCTCCCCAACCTGACAAACTTCTTGGAAGAGGTAGGCAGATTGGGGTTTTACTATTCAGGCTACTAGCAGCCCACTAATGAAGAGATCAAAAGAAGACTGTATGAGAGCTTCCAACATGGGCAGAAATCGTGTCACCCTGAATTTCCCCCTACACAACGATTGAACCTGGTCCCATCGTCTTTGTCACTAATCTTTTTATATGTATTTGTTATAAAAAAACTACTGCACACCTGTCCATAAGCAGCACATGCATAGTGCAACTTTGCAAGCAATAAGTGTGCTTCTAATACTGTGCCCTCACTGCGACGTTCCACCGTTTCGTTGAGAAGTGTCTCGGCTTCTCGCAACCCACTGGCATGTCCACTGCGCGGCCGCAGGACTTCTGTAGAAGAAATATGCTCAATGTCCTTCATTCCATTTACTGGTTCCCACCAGACTTTCTACTATTTTCATTTTGTAATAAGGTTGTACATGCAATTTCAAAGGATCAAAGCGTTCACCGTTGACTGATCTCCTGGCTTTAGCCGCTTTACTAATTTCGCCATCAAAAAGTCTCGACTCGAAATGCGAGACTTCTTGTTCCTTACAATGAGATGCGAGAGCCGACGTAAATACCAGTAAAACGAATGAGGTACTAAGTAAGCAACTAGAAGGAAGCTTGTTTGGTCTGAGATGATGCCAATCTTGCGGAGACAGATAATAGACTCTCCGCTCACCGCCTAGCCATAAGAGCACCGAAATGTTGAAATGCGCCTTGAAGCTACAATCCATATCTCGGAGTCTGATTGGGCGTGTCACCGAAAATCACGTGGCGGCCACTGCACCTGATAGAAGTCGTGTGGATAAGCTGTTTCCTAACATATCAACAAAGCATGCTGGAAGCAGCTCATCCGCGCAACTTCTTTCAAGTGCGGTGGCTGTCACGCTATTTCCCGGTGAGCACGCCCCATTCAGACATCGAAAATATGGAGCGGTACCCTACCCTGCACGCATCAAATTCGGGTGTATTTGCCACTAACAAAGGGGGTGACGCGAACCTGCTGGATATGCAACAAAAGGAGCGCTTCAAGTTCAAAAAAGTGTACGAAGCTAAGTGCCAGGGGTAACCTGCTGTGACTGAGCGTGATGAACAAGTGAGTTCTTAAGAAGCTAAAAGTTTTAAGCAGATAAAGATGAGCGGAAAGCAAAGTGATATGACCACCTTGAAAATTTCCCAGTTTCGCGACCAAACAAAAGTACTTCTCATCTCTATTTTTCTTCCACCATCTTCGCCCCGTTCCAACTTATAGCATGTTGAAATCAGTGAATTAGGAAAAGTAAGAACAAATTAGGAACCTCCTTGCTGTTCGAGGAATGTTTCCAATTGTAACTCGGCTTCAACCAATTCCACCATGTCCTCCATGCCCGAATGCTTTGACTTCATGGCCTGGAGAAGCTCGGCCAATCGTTTCCAATTACCTAAACAATCTTAATCATTGACAGCCTGGGACAGAAAAGGAAGAGAAACTCCACCATCAGCCCGTGCTCGATCAACCTCCGCTTCGAGCCTACTTCCACGGAGCTTTGTTGTCATTGTTGAAGTCTAAAGAAGCTTCCGAGTTACTCTTCTATTGTTGTCGACGGATTCAGCCTGAACAGCTATTTTAAAGCCAGACAATTACGATTCCAACACTTCAAACGGTAACCTCAAACAAACTACTACCTCAAACCAAATACCCTTCCCTGGAATATTTAAGCACTTAAGACATTAAGAAGCCAATGCAATCGCGCTGCGCATCAAGACAAATGCCCAGTAATAGTTTTCAGAGTAATTCGCAGTACGCATCATCTACGATTAGATTCCAATAGGAAAAGTGCCAAAAGTGACTAGATAGTTGGAATTTGAGTAGCTTTTCTTTTCAATTCAGGTCCAGCAGCACTCCCTATGGTACTGCCGGATCCGGAGCATTCAACTACTAATCCACCCTAATTGAAAATTGAATATTGCGCATCAAACTCTAATGCCAATGGACTATGGAGGGATCTTCAGCGAAAAAATCTAAAGCTGAAGCTGTTCCGAATGCGCCACAATGCCTTTGATCAGGATCAGGTTTATGTTCCCCGGACAATGCTTGCGGGAAGTGTTCCACTTGACACTACATCACCCACCATCTTCATCCTGTGGAACAGGCTAACAGGCTCACTAATCACAGCATACAAATTATCATATCTACTGTAGAAAATATGTGAAAGGTCACTTTGCCTTTGTTGTTGACGTAAACAAAACAAATGCTCATATTTATAGAAAATTCTAAATTCTTCATAGAAATTAACAACAACTAGTAATAAAAAACCTTTGAACATAAAGTCTAAACAACTGGATCGATAGTATAGAAAGTACATGGGCGGAACTTAAGAACTGTCATAGACTTATGCCATTCCTTTGCCGCCTTCCATCTTTTGCAGGTGCTCCACCATGAAGTTGCTAGCATCAATCATTCGATTCACACAATTCTGAAACTTTATGTATTACATTTAGGCTTAAAAATGTTATTAGTGAATTATACTATCTGGGCGCTAGGAATGGTGGCAAGTTACGCGCAATTGCACTCACAGTGAAATTGCGTCAAAGTTCTTGTTGGCCAAATAAGCAGCTTTCAGTAATACGCCTCACACGATATAATGCTCCATATAGACGAGAGTGCAAAAAGACGGGAGAGACGCAGACACCAACGCTACCAATTATTCTGAGGCTAATCCCAATTGAATGGGTGCGGTGAGGCTACGACTGCTGCAAGCACGTTGATTCCTGGGATCGCAAGCTATGACCGCGGCCTGAATCCTAAACAGTATGCCACCCGCACCCTTCTTCAGATACCTTGATGCGGTACTAGACGCAAAATCTGTGCTTATTTCATCTCACTTATAAGGGAGATTCTTACTCAGCTAATTGAATAATAAAGCTCAAACGTATAACACAAAGATCAATGTCATCCATGCATCATGGAGTTATATGGGTAATATAATTGAAATTAGCAGTTGTACACAAGCGCTCATCAGGAAACCGATACATTACCTATAGGTCAAGGCAAACCATAGGCCGCGTTCATAGTTCGCGACTCCGGAGATTAGGATAGTACGCGACAATGAAAAACATATGTATTGACGGGGAGATTAGGATAGTAGTAGATTAGGATAGTAGTAGAGTAGGAGATTGCGCTGACAAGATTAGATACGTATCGATTGAAATCGCTGGAGAGTAGTAGATTGCGATATTACGATAGTAGGATAGTAGTAGAGTAGGAGATTAGGATAGTAGTAGATTAGGATAGTGCGCTGACAAGATTAGATATGTATTGATCTATTCGCTTGAAGTCGCCCAATCTACTACTCTCCAGCGATTTCAATCGATACGTATCCAATCTTGTCAGCGCAATCTCCTACTCTACTACTATCCTATCGCCTACTATCCTAATCTCCCGAGTCGCGAACTATGAACGCGGCCATAGAGCCATGCAAATAATAACATGCGCGGTTATCAATGACCCATACAAATCAACATTTCGTGATACAAAATAAAGATTTCGAATCACACTTGCCTGAAGACATGTGGAGGTCTTTCCATCGAGTTTACTAGGCGGGCGGTAATCAGCGAAACAAACATCCCAACATCGGCCTGTTAGTGTATGAACCTAGAATATAACGACCATATTAAGATGAGAAAATCGTGACAACACCACTCATCCAGTACCTGCTCTGTGAACTTCTGCCTTTGCGTCTCTGACTGCAACTGCTGAAGAAATCGCGCCAACTGTGGATCGGTTGTTTCCATGTTTCTAAACCTAACTATTGTTAAACGAAACACTGGAATCATCGATTTAAGCAAGATCAACGACAAATAACTGGGCATTGTTAATGGATTAAACCATACACAAAAAAGTTTATAACACTCATAGCTCATGTTTATTTCATATTATAAAATTGGAGACACTGGTTTACTTGTAGGCCTATTGTTTCCTGAGCAGAGCGTGAAGCCTGAAATATCAACTAAAAAATTTCAAGCATCGGAACAAGTGGCACAGACAAGCGGGAAAAAGTGGATAAAAAGTAAAACATACACTTTGAGTGGAGTACTAGAAATAATCAGACGAGGAATCCTTCGATGTTCAAGTAAGATGCGCCAAACGCCACTAAAAACAATGATTTTTGAAAGGAACCAAGAGTATAGACGGGAATTCATTGTTTCAAGTCAGATTGGATTACTGTACTATCTGGTTTTTGATGTCAGGTGAATACCATCCACGTACACTTTGTCAGGAAGTACAGTGCGTTCCAAAAGTACAAAGGAACCACTGAGAACTGCTGTCTTGAATTAGGATGGAAATTCGTGGCTCGCTACCTACTTTACTGAATACAGCACGCGCTGAAACTACAGTCCACCTTATTTCAAAAATATGACGATGTAGACATTTTTTCAGAAATTTTTGAAAATGCCTCCTGTTCCAATGGTATGAAGGCGTCCTAGGCAAGAGGACAAGTAAATTATTCTTATGTTCCTAGACAAGTCTAGTACCAATTAACCGACCCCGGAAGGATGGAAGGCTTGGTTGGCCGAGGGCGACTCACGACCCAGGATTCGATCCCTGGACCGCTCGCGGGGCGACGGACTATACAATCGTCGGCTAATGAGGTCACGCCGCTCACGCGGCGAGAATCGTCGCGTGCGGCAGTTGCTGCGGCGATTTCTGTGTGGACCTTTTCTTATCCATCCATGCCCATAAGTTGGCTAGGTGACTGATAACACCAGAGTGCTGGACATCAGTAAGCCAGCAAGCGTCACTGTAAGATCCCTGCAGTGATTTAAGCCTCGCAGTACAAACTGTACCGTGTAAAGGTTGTCCTTTTGGATTTAATTTGACTTCTTTATTAATCAGTTTCCTGAATTTCTATCAGAGAGTGATAATCTGGTTCAATCGGAAAGAATATTGCGTATCAAGACACAGAGTAGCGGCGAGGAAGGCTCTAACATAAGCATGATATGATAAGTATGTAATAACGGCGAGCGAAAACGAAACTGCATTTTAAAGGTTAGGTGGTTCTTATTTCATGTTTCATGAAGGGAAACATGATCTAATCTTACATTCCCCAATGCTTGGATGCTGAGTTCTTTGCAAATTCGCCGCGATATTGCTGGCTGCGGCGGCCGGCGCGGCGACCTACTTACTGCCACGATTGTATAGTCACGCACCCCCGGTAGCGTGGTGAAAGCGTGCCCAATTTGCCACTGACACCACTTCTGCCCTTTGAAACATACTGGGTTGAAACCATTGAAATGAAGTTCCCAAAAATTGAATTACCACGATGCCATCAAAATTGCTCCCACATGGATAAAGGGTGACCGAATAGACTCTCACTCAGCCGCCGGCGAAGCGGAAGGCGTGGCTATCCTGGTCGAATTTTATAGACAACCGTTTGGAGCGAAAGCACACCACCCAACCCCAGCTTAACACTTAAAGCTACCCGAGAAGAGAATAAGATAGAAGAAGTAGGTTGGCCACATCTGATGGCTCTCTTCAAAAGAAGATTTCCTACTAAAAGGAAACTGTGATTTTAATTTGCGCATGACATGACCCGTAATAACAACAAACATGACGCATCACATAATGAAATGCGCCATAACTTTCACGTTATAAAGCATTCAATTAAACATAGGCCACTCACCAGCTTCTATTAAGAACCCGAAAATAACGAATGTTCCAATATCTCTTTTGACTTTCTCCGCTGCAGCTTGCTGCAATTCTGAACTTCCTACACCGCCAGGGAACATCATGATTCTGAAGCTTGGTTAAACTTTCAATATACAAAGAACGCGCAACGATCCATCACAAAGGAGAACACAGTTAAATTAAGCAGTTGGCTGTATCAGAAACGCATTGAAAATACTATGTTTCACAAGAATGCTGGGTTGTGAACAAAACTTTCGCCCCAGGCGGGACTAGAACCCGCACCTCTCGCTTTCCGGGCAAGTGCGCTACCAGTTACGCTACCGGGGCACCATTTCATTCCAACTCAGCTTTTCATGGTATACGTACCATAGCTTTCAGCACTCACACGTATAACGTGTTGAGCCGGTTAGCCGATATCGGCAATGACCGCGAGGCTGAAAGCTTTAGCAATGATTTTTGACTTGTTTTTGTTTGTTAACTGCTGTTTTTGGCCGCAGTTTCCCCTCTTTGCTATAAAGCTTTGAAAAACTACCTAGAGTAATTTTTCAAAGCTTGATAGGCAAAAGAGGGAAAATTCAGCTCGAGGATCTAATTGAAAGTTTTGGGCGCACATGTGGCTCGGCCCCCTTGCAACAGCGTCCAAAATCACCGGGGAACGCTCCGTTTTAGGACTAAGCTTTTGAAGAGGGGAAGGAACTCCGGTGTACGGAAGCAATTTTCGTATTCTCCGGAGTTCGTCCCTGCTGTTTAGGCTTAGTCCTAGATGCTTTTCTCAGAGTGTCCCCCCCCCCGAGCCACATTGCGCCAATTTGTACTACTTACTCGAACCTTGCAGCGTCACCGTCTAAGGCAAACTGTTTTTATTTACCCCTAAAATCCCATAGATAAGAGCGGTCCATAGATATTTTTTCAAAAATAAAATAAAAATAAAAATATTTTTTCAAAATCATTTTTTACCGGTAAATTAAACCGCTCTTATCTATGGAATTTTACTGATCGAATGGGCTCTTCAAGTTCTATCCAGAGATCAAATTCCGGCATTTCTAGAGAGATTCCGGCAGAAATTCCGTTAAAATCGCTATTTTTCTATATGAATTGTTTATTAAGTGGGCGGGGTTTAGAGTTGAGGGACGGAGCTTCTTCTAAACTTCTTCTCCGATTTTTATTTATCCATCCATCAAGTTAGAGGGGTGACTGCATTCAATTTCAATTTCATTCCAATTCATTTTTCACCGGTAAATTAAACCGCTCTTATCTATGGGATTTTAGGGTACATAAATTTGCATCCACACCTGACGGAATTCTAACTGATTCCTATTCCCCACAAAACCTCCTCCAAACTTGAAGCAAGAAAACCTATGCAAAAAATAAAAATGACGTATAGCGTAGAAGCTCCACTGTTTTACAAAACTTATTTTGCAGAAAATGGAAATAGATGGCCGAAAATGAAGGCTAGTTGCACGTTGAACCAGTAATATTCAGAGCTCGGATAATCGAAAAATAGGAACGCAACTACCCAACAGACAAAGAAGACAATTGTGAAATATCACTCCAAGCGAGAATAAATCAAGATCAAACTGTTTCTTAATTTTTTAATTTGGGGAAAGGTACGGTAGTACAGGGGCGCGTAATTGGTGTGCCACACTATTGGACGGGCACAGTATGCAAACGCGCGAATGTTAAATTTTCGTACATTTTTCCGCGTTTCTGAAGCCGTGTTTGCGGGCTGGCCCTAGAGCCACATTTGCGTCCCGTGATCCAGCTCTTGCCTATGAATTTCTTTGTGGTCTTTATTGGTTAGCGAAGAAGCGTTGCCCCAGAAGCACGAATTCACACTCCCAATTTATGCCCTTTCTTGTTACTCTTTACGGCTCAGTGTGGCTCCGGGAGCTTGCCGGAAACTTGACGTCAAATTCTTCTCGTCGTCATTTGCTCCTTTTTGAGGATAAGCTTCGGAGGAGAAGCTTTGGAGGAGCGAGTTGCGCAAGCAATTTTCATTCCCTACGGAATTCGGACCTCTGCGCTAGGCTTAGTCCTCGTGGCCTTCCGACAGGCTGCCCCGGAGGGACATTGCGCCCCCTTTTTTCAGAGGGAAATGTAATTTTTGGCGCTTCTGTCTACTGCAATCTCAGAATCTCAACTTTTGCTTAGTCTTTTGGGGTTGGGCAGTGCCCCGATCTCGAAGAGGAACTCTCTGCGCTAGGTTTAGCAAATTGTTTTGAGTTATAGTGGGGTTTTATATATAACAGCGAATATTTCTATCTTCAAATTGTTCAGTGTTTACTCCCAATACTTACTTATTTCCAGCAATGCCAGGATCAGAATTCATCAAAGTTACTACACGAGTCCGTCCTTCGTCTTCTTGTAACCCACAAGGATGCATAGTTAATGTAATAGATACGAAAGAATTTGAGGTCAGTTTTTTTTAATTTTACGCGCCTACCTGCTATCTTTTCCTATTGGACATTTTGAAGCTTCAATCCAAGGAATCCCAGAAATTTTACATTCGATGCTGTCTTCAACAAAGATGTAACGCAGGTCTGAGG